TTTGCTGGAGGTTGCTGTAGGCAGAAGGAAAATGAGAAACTTGGTTTCCCTTTGGTCCAATTTAAAAGGGGAATACGCATCTGGTCAAATGTGGCTAGGGTGCTGCACATGAGCAGATTGCGCAGATATGCAAAGCAGTGGGGTGTTTTGGTTAATTAATGCATGGGCGCATTTAGAATCAGTCGTAACATTGCATCATTCAGAACGGTGCAAACCCTGAAACAAAAGCAGATAAAACTGATCGATATAGCAAAAAAAAATTTTTTAAGTTTTAATTTTAAGGGCCAGATTTACTAACAGCTTGTGCCAGTGCAAACCCTCTTTTGATGTTAAAAAATACTGTCAGGAATTTGCTTAAAGGGGTCATAGGATGCCCATTTTCCACAAGTTGATATGATTCTTTAGGGTCTTAATGAAAAGTCTGTAACATAGTTTGGTTAAAATTTCTCAATGGTAGTGTAAAAAACACATTTTTTACCCTGTCAAAAACAGCTCTTTTCAGAGCATGCAGATTTGTAGCATTTTCCTTTAAATGTTAATTTAAAGGAATTAACCTCTCTCTGAGAGGTCTCTAGTCTCAGAGAGACTGTTTACTTTAGCTGCATTCATTGTGAAACTTGCTAATTAGCACATTATTAGGAAAGGCGAGTTGCAAAGATTTGTTAAAAAAACCTTGTAGGTGAAGCTGGATCACGAATGATTCGCGCGAACATAGACACATTTATGTAGATCAGGGGTGCATTCCCTTCAAAAACAAGCATAATACACTGTGACTTCAGCGGCTCAGATGTAAACGACGATTGCTATGTTCATTATTACATCCAACACCTCAATCGCTTGTTAGGAGTCATTCTTGTCTACATCTGCTCCAGCGGTAAAAAAAATGGCTGACTGATGACAGCTCAGCTCACTCAGGGCGGGTCTAAGGTAAGACGCCAGTCCAGTCTGTGCTGAAACGCTACTGTCAATCAAACTATCTTAAAATCGAAACTTGTGCTTGTTAACATTATTTAATGCACTGTGAATTAACATGATCTAACAATGAACGACTGTGTTTTCATTAACTAACATTAACAAAGATGAATAAATACTGTAATAAATGTATTGTTCATTGTTTGTTCATGTTAGTTAATAAATGAACTAACATTAACTAATGGAACCTTATTGTAAAGTGTTACCAGTTGAACTTACATTAATTTTACATGGCTTTCTAAACATGCCGCTCTCTTGTGCCAGACGCGAGTGCCACGCTGATAGATGTCCTGCTAGAAAATGTGATAAATATGCATTCTGTGTGAACGACTTGGTTTCAGTTTTGACGTAAACAACATCTTCTCCACACTGATGCTCTCGTTTTCCGCAATATATTGAATGAACAACGTAGCAGCGCCGCATCTAGTGGGTTCAACTGGATAGGCTAACAAAAGCATTCAAATGCAACGACACTTGCATCATCATCACATCTTGTGTCCACTGATAGGCTGCCTGACGGCTGACGCAGACCTAAAGTTCGAATGCAACATTTTTGCACCAGTTCACTAAAGAAAAGAAGTTGAGTCATGATCAATTTTGCTTTATGTACAATCAGTTTTGGAAGAATGAATATACTTTTTTTTTTTTTTTTTACAAGATAGCATAATAGAAATCCATGGAAATGATGTACCACTGTGTCGTTTAACAGCACACCAATACTGATTTTTTATGTATTTTATTTAAGCAAAAGACAAGAAAGAATGAAAATATGAGTGCATGAAGAATATGGTTAGTTGCTTTATTAGCCTACATTTTGATCTAATTTAGACTGTATAATTTCAAAACCTGAAGCAAAAACAGAATGGTCCGACTTTAGCTTTATGAAATTAGGCTACACAAAACATACCAAACAGCAGATGGGCTGAATGAAAATGTAAATTCACTCTCTGTCAGCAGGTGGCGCTTAAGGAACAGCAGTGATGCATTGTTTCCTTGATTACCGCTGTAAACACAATGCATTATACTGAGGCAAGATGAAAGGAAAATGCCATCTAAACTTTTTCTTAAGACAGTCAGTTCCCCTCAGATACATTCATACTTTGCACAATGTGAACAGTGAGCTTGCTCTGCCTGCTAATGTATTTGAAGAGTTCAGATGCAAAAGCCTCTAAATGCTGTCTGAAATTTTCTTCTAAACTTAGCATTTTTATCAGACTTCTATGTTTAAGTTCTATGCCATTAAAGTGAAATAACTTAACATAAATATAGCAGCCTGATAAAAATGGTCATTTTAGAAAAAAAATTCAGACGGCACTTAAAGGTTTTTGCATCTGAACTCTTCATTTTCTCTTCTTTTGGGTTTACAGACTCTGAAATAAAAAAAATATACATTATTATTATTCCAATTTATGGCCTATGGTCGATCGGTGCATCTCTGCTCAAATTCAAATATTAAACTGCTTTTATTTTGGTGGTTTACCAGCAAATAAATAAATACGCTGCATGTTTCAGAGTAAAGTGCTGCATGTCATGGGCTGCACTCAAACTCATTACTGCTTCAGGCTGAAAACTGCAGCGCATTGGTATTTTTTTATTAAATCGCAACCTTCGCAATATGACTATGGCATTAAGCTATAATGCAATATTGATTGTATTTCGATATATAGTGCACCCCTAATTAAAATAATATTATTTAAAAAACTTAACTAATTTGGGCGCCCCTATGGATGGATGGCACCCCTAGCATTTGCCTATTTAGCCTATGCGACAGGCCAGCCCTGAACAGTTATTAATAACTGTCATAACCAGACAGAATACGTTTCTAGTATCTAGTGATTTGTCTGTCCACACTGCACATGAAACTGCTTTGTGATGTGATACAATCATAGCATAGAATCATATAATATATTTTATGTTTAACATACATTTATGAGAAGTGGATTTTTGACCAATGAGATTTCAGAGGGTGGGGCTATACAGAGTGAAGAAATTCAAGTAATCTAAGAAATCTATCGCTTGTTGGTGGTTATGGCTGGTTAGATTTACACGGAATTCCTAGCAGTCATTGCTTTATGATGTCAAATCTGAAATGGCACATTATAGCAGCATTTGAACATGATATATCTATAAATTAATGGAATCCTTTTTAGTGTCTTTGAAAATGCATTTTAAAAAGTTGAATAAAACTAAAGAAATAAATGTAGCGTCTGGAACACTCCAACACACAATATATATTTTGTTAGCTAGATTTCACAAATACTTTGTAACACCCCAGAACTAAAGAAACTAACTGGCTCTAATTACTGTATAAAAAAAAAATCCAGTTTTCCAAAACGTAAGCAGAAGCTTGCACCTGCAACACACATACACATCCATCTTTCTTTGCCCCTACTCTGCCACTTGTATCGTTAAAGAGCTAATATGAGACCTCCCAGTAGATGTTAGGCCTAAAACAGAAATAAAATCCCCAATAAAGTCTGGTTCCTAACTTCATCAACTCCTAATGATGCTGCAGGTGTCAGGCCTGATAGATTACTGGGTGTCTTCTGCAGGTTAGGTACTCTCGGGAAGAAGATGGCTTATCATAGGTACCTCATTAGCCAGAATCAGGTCAGCGGGACTCCATCCAGATCAAACAGTGCACACACTTCTCTCATGTCCATAGGCAAAGTGTTAAAAACTAATCACACTTTAGAGCAGGAGCTCCACTCTCACCTGCAGTGTGAGCGACAGAAGGACAGTGTCCTAGATGTAGAATGTAGAGCAGACCTGAGGCGCTAAACAACTTCCCAGTGCTTCTTCAAATCAAGTGTTTCAGTTCTTCTAACCAGTGCAAACACCAGTAAATTCTATCTTTAGAGTCTATAGTATCTTTAACCTAACTTTCATCCCCTCTTCTCATGCTTATGATGGTTGTCAACTTTTTTCATAACAAAAAAAAAAAAACACATTCCAAAGCTCTCTAAATATGGACTAATAAAAAAGAACATTAATAAAATGTAATATAATTTATATTTATTTAATAGTTACATAAAATCCCTCCCCATCTATATGTTCACTGTGGAACTTTTTCTAAAAAAAATAAATAAAAATACAATAAATAATAATAATAATAATAGAAATATTTTATAATTTCAGCATTATAAATTTCTATGTTTTTTTATAATTATTCACTGAGCTAATCGTAGAGTACGTTAGTTAATATAAGAAGAAACATCTAGCTTCGCGGTCTCTCTCGCTCTCATTTGACTGCACGTCTTGCCGCATTGTTTCTCTCTTATAACCTCATTATTTCTCACTAATAACCTAATTGATGCAGCACATGCCCTTGATATGAATTCTAAAAGTGACGCATGTTTAACTGTCAACTTGAGCTTTGAATCCGTGGCGGAAGGAAGTAGTTCCACACAAAAGAGGGTTTTATTAGGCACTCCGTTGTTTCTTGTTTAATTACACACATGTTCCGTCGAACTGTTGTATAAACGAATATCACTCTCGTACTCGAGCGATACCGGCTCTATATCAGCGGCTATGATTGCCTCCGGCACTCGGCCTCGTGCCTCTGGCCTAATCACAGCCATGCTAATAATAATACTGTATATATATATATATATATATATATATACAAAACAGTTAATCCACAGTTCCATGTCTGAAAATACAGTTGTATTTTGAGTCCTTTTATCGTCCTTAAAAATTTTTTTTAAATGTGGCCGTCCATATAAGGTTTAGTCCATAATAGGTAGAATTTATTGACCTACTGAATATTAATGACATGATAACAATTAATAATAGTTGGCTTGATAATGACTGTGTTATATTTGTGTTCCCTCCACTTTACAGATCATTCCTACACCCCTGCAGAACTACCGGAATCTCTGCTTATAAATAACCAACAGGACATACAAATCCCAACAGCAGCAGCAGCTTTGAGTACAGCAAGAAAACCATTCTGCACTGCTTATGGTCTTGAACTTTCAGCCCTGCGGAAGACAGAGGAAGTGGTAGGAATGAACCACATGTCTTACCTTTTTCTGATCCTCCAGCTTTTGACTTGTGGACTTCTTTATATGCTTGCTGGTTTCAGGCGGTACATCCATCCCTGGTGAGAGTGGTAATATCTCCAAGAGAGACCAAGTGAGAGAGAGAAAGACAGAGAGAAAGGAGCTACGAGCCAAACGTGTGGGAGAAAGGGAGGGGGCTACAGGCAGCCAGATTATTCCTTTCCCTGGGTCACATCTTCTCTCGGGCTGAGGTGGGCCTTTCTGGAAGAACAGGAGATGGAAAATGACAAGGAATGGAGACGCACCCGAAACTACCGAGACCACGTCAGCAGGATGAAGAGACCAGCATCCTCTCCACACGTGAAAACATCCATTCAGAAGTTTGTCATTTCCAACCAGTAGATCCCAGTGTGTGTATTCTGGTAGTCCAGCTCAGTGATGCATCCTTGGTCATCAAATCTGGAAAACAGATGCATCTTATCAGACTCAGAACAAATATAAAGAAGTCATAATAAAAAAAAAACAATGTCAGCCTTAGGAAGTGCAATCAGTGGAGCAATATGTATTTATTATATCCAGTTACATATTTTGCCAGTGTTTTACCAAACATTTTACCTCTTGCAATAATCCTTCCTCAACATGATCTATTTAGTTATGAGATGAATGGGAAGCCAAACAAAACACTGTGCTAGTCAACACAAATAACCGGATAGAGCATTCATGTGACCCACTATCAGCACTAAGTGCATCACGACCTGCTGATGTGCAGCGTAGATCAATTTTCAGAGGGTCACACATAGCCTACGGTTTGTTCTGCTGGTTGCTTTGTTTTCAGGACAATATTTGATATAAATAAGTCAGCATTATCAGTGCAATTTCACACACAACCCAGCAATTTCACATGACAGTGAATCCCAAAAATACATAACTAAGAGAAAGTTGCACTCAAGTGATCAATACACAACTTATAAATGACAACACCAGTTCAGATAATGTAGCAAACGGTAAAAAAGATTAAGTCATTTGTGAGATCATTTCATACTATTAGAAACTACATACTGTATATGGTACAGTGATTGAAGGGTCAGTGCATATATACATATAAGAGTTTCCAAGATAATGTTAAGAATAAATCTTTAAAAAAAACACAACAACAGTTGGTTTTTGTTTTTCTTTTGTTTTATTTGCTTTTTGTCTTGCCTGGTTTTTTGTTTAGCATTTTTGTTTTTTGGTTTATGTTTTGCTTTGCTTTTTTCCCCCTGCATGTTTCTGTATTGTTGCTGGATTTTTATTCAAGAATTAACAATATGTTGATCATAAAATAGGCTCGTTCAAGTCATTGTGTGCAAGAACTGCCGTTCCAACTCAATGTTTGTTTCCAATCAAAGTGTCATGTAAATGTCCATAAGAAATGTAAAAGCAGCATATTGGTTGCAGAAAATGCTGCCCCCTTCTGTAGAGAATCTTTTGCAGTTGCTTCACCAAAATAGCTAGCGCTCAATAAAAAGTCAATATCCCTTGAGGTGTTTTGTGCAACGAGTGAAGGGAGGCAGTACATCTGCATATCAAAGTGAGTTTTGCTACTAGTTTTCTTCTCTATATATGAATGTGACGAGTGGGGCGGGGCCAAGAGCGGAGGAGCTCCGGAAGGATAAAAGGAGGAGTGACGACAGTGCAGGATGAGAGAGGACCAGGCCTGGACTTTATTTTTGTTTTGGTTCTGTTTGTGCGCGGCAGTCGTCCGTGAGGGGCTGTCATGCTATTTTGTGTTTATTTTGTTATTAAAGTTTTGTTTAAATGTTCACCGGTTCCCGCCTCCTTCTTCCCGAACTACGAACTGTGTTACAATGAATAAACACACATTTGTTCTTTGGCATGTGATTGTTTTCACCCTTCTTCTCCAAAAACCACTAAAGATAGGAAGACTTGAGTCATGCTGAGGTTGTAAGAGGCATTCTGGGAAGAGACCAAGCTCTGAGCAATTACCACAGGATCGATGGCTGGCCTTGTCTGCTCTTTTGGCAGACTTCAAAACATTGGCCTATCAAAGGGAGTTTGACTTGCAACTTGCAAGATGTTAGAAGTTCATGGACACCACTAGCAAAATGACAAGGAGAGACACTTTGGCTCGTGATTCCCAATTTTCATCTTTAGGATTGAGATATACTAGGTTTTGGATTTCATTAATAATAGTTCTTAAACCTCAGAATGCATTGGCTTGTGGCAATTTGTGTAAGAGCGTCCATTTAACAGTCCTCCCCATGCCAAACTTTTTTTTTCTCTCTTGTCTAGCTGTCTTGCATCTGATTCTTGCCAACTTGTAACTTTTTATGTACCATCATTTTTATTTATTTTTTTACTTCAAATTGACCTCCTGCCACTACATCAAGGTCACACCAAGAAAACTAAACTGGTCAATCCAGGGTAAATATCCTCAATTCTGTGAATTCTTCTGAGCGATGGGCTCAACTGAATCAGTGAATCATTTTTGAACTAGTTCATATCAAATTAACCAGTTCACTTCCCCAGTGAATTTCAGTTGCAGTCATCTTGCTTTCTTTTAAACAAAAGCGTAACATGCAGCATGTGGTTTTCATTTTTGTCAAAATTGGAATACAAAAAGGTAATTAAGAAGACATTTTTGTCAGCTACGACTGTCCTGAATCCAGATGGAAAGAACCATCTTGAGGAATTTATAGTGGGATAGTATTATTATGTTACTGTTATTTGTCAGAGAACAATTCAAAGAAAAATAGACCCAGGGTCTCACAGGATTTGCAAAACAATAGCTTGATTGAATCAACAAATGCACATAAATCTACATGCTGCATCTGTCTTACAAGACACTAACCACACAGCATCACTCGAAGGCTCCTCTGAAGAGCACAACTGAGTTCTACCATCTCCTGTATTATTCATTAGTTCTAATTTCCCTTCTTTTCACAAAAAGAAACATTCACATATGCCTGCAAAGGACTGACATACTTTACTCTATACATATCTCCATGGTTTCTATCATTTATACTTGGTTTGGCTGTTCATTTTACAGCATTTACTTGAATAATTCAGAGTACCTCTGTCAGTAAGGGCAGTAAGGCATTTTTCAAATACACATGTGATGTTAGAGATGAAACCAGGCTGTCAAAATGAATAGATAAAAGCACTCATGATGATGGAAATACTCCTCTTTGTCTGTCAGCTAAATTGTTGTCATTTTGAGGTGAAGAACAATTTCTATTATTTCGAGAGCAATACTTTGCATATTCCACAGCTAATTGACAAATTCAGAGAGAGAGAAAGAGAGAGAGAGAGAGAGAAACAATTGCTGAATCAATTGCTGAATTCAGAATATAATAAAAATGGTAAAAGTAGTAAGAGTAGTATGCAGTTCCCAATTCATGTCTGACGCCGGAGGCATTAATAAGAAGCCAAGCACAGTAATTATAAAGAATTTTGTAGACCAGAAAATTGTGATTAGAAAAAGCGGCAGAAATCTAAATATTATTTCGAGAGCAATACTTTGCATATTCCACAGCTAATTGACAAATTCAGAGAGAGAGAAAGAGAGAGAGAAAGAGAGAGAGAGAGAGAGAAACAATTGCTGAATTCAGAATATAATAAAAATGGTAAAAGTAGTAAGAGTAGTATGCAGTTCCCAATTCATGTCTGACGCCGGAGGCATTAATAAGAAGCCAAGCACAGTAATTATAAAGAATTTTGTAGACCAGAAAATTGTGATTAGAAAAAGCGGCAGAAATCTAAAGCAAATGAAGCGGGTATATGTGGACCATCTCACTGCCGCTAATATACATCCGCTACTCTTGAGAACAGAAGCCTGTTATTAGACCGATCGAGTGGAAAGAAATCACATTTGCTATCTGAATAGCAATGTGCTAATTCAAACAGGTCAGACAGGTAAATGTTTGATTTAATTGTGCCATTCAGTCATAAGTATAGTTATTTGAACAAACCAGTGCTACTTATAAAAACTGCACAAATAACATTTTATGGAAAGAACTAGTGAAGGTAGTTGAGGATACAAAGATAACGTAATAATTTTTATTAAAGCAATAAATAATAAAACTAAATATTGGTCTAAATTTTGATTGGATAAGCCATATCTTTACTACACATTTTACTGTGGAAAGTATTGTATCAGATTTTTTTTTATATGATGTGAGCATTAAAGGATACTTTAATGACAAGAACAAGGAGATGTTTTTTAAATATGTACATGTGGAAAAAAGTACTAAGAAGTCTTCTTGATGACTCATGAAAACACAAATATTTATGTGTAAATCTTCTGAACTTTGTTCTGTTTGTGTTTCATGAATGAGGTGCAATGTGCACATGATAATAATATAATTTTTTTTTATTGTGAAGTCAGTGTGATATCCAGAGTAACTGAGTATTGAAGAGTTGAAGTCTCTTTCTCTGCCCTTTTACTGGCATTTGGTATTCATTGAGCATTCATAGTCAGTGAGCTAGAGTATATCCAATAAAATATGATTCATTGGCTTGGCCTCTGTGCTGCCACTTTAATTTGATGTAAAGATGTGAATGTCTATGGTGGACTTCCACTGATTTCCTCTGGGAGAAATGATCATAGCATGAAAATGTCCCCTGTACTGTCTCATAATAGATCAGAGGTCAGTGGCATTGAAAACACCTAACTGATCATAGAGGCCTCTGAGGGCATCCCATAATACATCAGGCAGATTTGCCCACGAATTTGCTTTGAAATTGACCAGCAGTTAAATGCTTGGCAACTGCAACGATGTGGATGTGCTGGAGTGGTAAAGCATTTGAGCTTTACACACACAATCACAAATACACACAAATAGTCCGCCCTACCCGGCATGTGTCTATAAGGGAAACCTCAGAGAGATGATGATTAAAACATAATAAACGTGTAATTACCAGCCGAGCTTTCGTGCCTGTCCTCCCTGCACTCGCAAAGACAAAAGATGAGTTTTATTTCGCAAGCAATAAATTGATTTCACTGCTTTCCCGAGAGTGATTTATTCCCCATTCCTGGTTTATTGAGGGAAATCTGCAGAGAGAGCGGCCGT